TAGCACTCTGTGCTCTGGGACAAATACTCAACTCCCAAACAAACTACACCAGAGCACAGAGTGCTGCTACTGTCCTCTGAAGATGCTGGCCACAGAGACTGGCAAAACGTTGGGAAGAACAACCTTCAGAACATGGCCACAGAGCCGGAGAAACCCGTAACAACCATTAATGACAAATCAAATCGAGATGAGTCAATGGTTTTATACATGAGAGAATTCAAGTGACAATCCAATGCAGAAAACTGGTAGAATATAGATTATTTAGTGAATTTACTAACTTCGAATTAGGTGTGTATTTGTGAATAGAAAATGGCAAGGAAAAAAAAGCAGAATATTACTATTTGGTAATGGATGAATTTGACATTACTCTTGTTAAACAAGTTCTAATAAGGTCTATGGACACACTAGATAATGGCTCTGTTCAGTTGTAAAGCATTTTGTGCATAAGTTGACTTCACCCTCCCCTTCAGAGTGGCCCCTTGGAAGCAATCAAAAATATATACTTCCATTTGCAACTTAACATAGTTTTTTGTTATATCTGAAACAACAACTACAATCATATTTACAAAGTTTTTCAACAAACCAAGGTTCTAACTTACGGTTTCAAGTTGAATTTTTTAAAACAAATCATAGTTTGTTCTTAAGTGGATGCAACAAAGTATGGGCTGGTGCTAACACAAATCTACACATCATTGCCAGGCCAAGCCCCCGGACTGGGACTGACAGTGACTATTTTGGATACTAAAGCCTTACCACATCAAATCTCAAGGCTCCCAAAGGCTTTGTCAGGTGGAAATGGATCCTTCAGGAGCCTTGGAATCTGAAGTGGGAAAAGGAAACTAAAATAAAAATTAAAGGCTGTGTCTGATGACATCACCATCATCATTTACATCAATGGAGCTGTGCTAAGACGGTTTCAACCACTAAGTTTCAAACCAAGTCCCAAACTGCTTAGGTCTGGATGCTTTTGGATCATATCAAATAAGCAACATATAACCAGCAATGATTTTGGACTGGGAAAACAGCTGGACACATATTTCCACGGGAACTGAGGTGAGTGGAGAGGAAGCCACTGCCAAATGTGATCTGCCAAATAGACCTAATTCTGTGTTAAAATCAAAATACCAAAAAGAAAAAGAAAAACCCACAAAGAATGCAATGGACCATAATCCTATTGGTGTTCATGCACAGTTTACACACCTTGGTATAGCTAATTGCATGTCAGGCATATATCTGGTCATGTGCCTGACTGCACAATTGTGATACACTCCAGCACCTCATATATTATCCACAACGTGGTGCAACAAGATACACAAATCTTATGTGAACATCAAAAGAATTCTCGTTAATAGAATCAATACTGCGTTTCTGATATACATTTCTTATTAGGCTATTCTTGAAACTGCCTATTTTAGTACTAAATTGAACAAACACAGGAAACAAGAGCTTCATCTTTATATACAAACAAATAAAGGAAACATAAGGTATGTGAAGCTTACAGAAAAAGTATTAATGAATGAGTGCCAAATGAGCAAATTCTGTTTGTTTCTGAGGGACTTTGAGCCCAGCAACCAGGCTTCTAACTTCCTTATTAAAAAAAGTCCTTAACTAGTGATAACTAGTTTGACAAATAGTTATGTCTTGGAATAAGTTGAATCTGCAATAGACTTAGAAAAAAAAATCTTCCAACCTCTGGCACCATTTGACAAAATACTGTTTAATCTTAGTTTTCAAGCATGGGAAGCTGAGCAAAGTGATACATTCAGTATCTTTGCAAAAACTGGCCTCCAGTCTAAGTCCCAGAATGATGATACTGTTTAAGACATCTGTACAAATCATCATTCCCTTATTCTTTTCTCTCCCACCTCCACTTCCTGTTGTTCTGCATCATATTCAATAACTTAATGGATCATTCATTTCCTCACCAGCATTCATCCAGGTTAATGAAATAACTCTTGAAGCAAATATTTACTGCAATACACTGAATTACAGATTTTTTTTTTTACAAACATAGACACCATTTACATGTAAATATAGTATCTAAACTGAGATTTCTTCTCCCACAGTAGAGCCACCAATCATGAAGAGCATCCTTTATTTCCTGGGAGGAATGGCATGCTTAGAGGATCCGTGTAAGTCAGAGCGAGGGACAAAGTGGACATGAGAGGACACTCCCTGTCAGTGGCATGCGGCAATTTCTCCTCTGTCTGTCAACTGGAGCTCTCCCCTTTCCTGAACCTTCTTCGGCCCTGTTGCTAATAACTGATCCTCACAACCAAGTTAGATGTCTCTTTCTCAACTATTCCAGTGCTTTCTCTCAGTGCCTTAGCCTCCAGCCTCCTGTGAGAGCCAAGTGGGAGGAAAAAAGAAGAAGCTATGTTTAGCTACTGCATGACCTCTCAAAACAACATACTGCAAAGGGGTTAATGGGGGGGGGTACACAGAACTAGCACTATAGATTACTTATCTGCCTTTTTCCCAACAAAATGAGATTCAAGGCAGATTATACTGACAAGCCCAGGTCCCACCTTGAAACAGGAAAAATGGGAGAAAACACTGCATTAAATTTCAGTCAACCCAAAGCCACTCTGCTCATCCCCTTCTCCCCTCCAGAATTAATCACAGAATTGTGAGTGGCCACATGCAGAAGCACTAGCTCCGCCTGGACTCTTGGGACAGGGAAGTCAACCAGTTCCATATCCAACGGAGAGAAAGAGTTATGTATGGAAACTGGCCATTCCACACATCTCCAATCTGTCCTGTAGTCTCAAGTGCCTCTAAGTATTTTAATTAATGGAAGCTGCCAATAAATGCTCAGTTTTGGCCCACTGGCTGTTCTATTATTTCATCTTTCCGCTATACTGTTAATACTGCTAATTAGGCTACATATTTAATTATCTTTGCCACACTTTCCCAATGACAGCAACCCCAAGATATCTGAGTAAGTCTTACAACAGTTTAAGGCCGAACTGTTTTCTGTTAAACATGTCTTACAATCAAGTTATCATTTCTTTCTATACGTTTCATATAATGCATTGTTAAACTGCCCTTGATTCACAGCACAAATCTTCAGTTTGCCTTTTAATCTATCTAATGATATCCCACTTCCAAAATGTTTGCATTCTCTCTCTCTCCACATATGCTGCATTGTTTTCAGAAGTTACACCTGAAGGTTAAATAAGCAATGTTGGTGCATTAAGACAACCACATGCTACTAAGATGACCATGCTATAAAAAGCCAACTAAAAATGTATATTCTAGTTTGGAAATCTCATTATCCTTATTGTCAAAAGCAATGTTTTTATACTATTCATATTCCAAACAAGCCAAAAATAAAAGTAAAACTGCATAGTAGTTTAAGAAGTAAATCAGCATGAATGCATACTCCTTAGGGAATCAGCAAAATTTGATGCTGACTTCACATCCAGAATTCATTTAAACTCAACTATTTTGCCCATAGTGTAGAACTGAACTACAGTCCACAGTTTAAAGTTATTACTTTTTAAAAATTAACAAAGGTTTTATCAGTTACCATGTCAAGGGTCGCTGGTTCACCTTTGTGGTTGTAAGCATGCATGTTTGAAGGGGGAAATTAGCAACAATTAAGAGTAAAATGGAATTTTTACACAATGCAGCAATGTAGAGGAAATATTTATACTAATAACTTGATCTCACTATTATTCATTAACTTACTTTACCAGCTCCCGCTTTTCGGATTCCAAGTACAGGTGCTAGGAAAACATAGAGTTAAGAGTTAAGTCTCCGCTTCTTAATTGCACTGTTCCAACAAATTCAACTACTGCTTCTTCTGGAATGCGGTGCAACCTGTCTTCCTTTACCTTCAAACTTTACACAGCTTATTTGCTCTCCAACCACTTTACATAGACATGAGTGTACTCTGACTCTCTTCGCCCCCCTGCCCCCCCCAATGCATAGACAGTTCCTGAGACCACCAAGGGACAGGAAGATTGTCACTCTTTTCGTTCATGCTCACAGAAGAGAGGTGTTGCTGCTGTTGGCAAGATTTGCACACAAACATGTACTCAACAGACTGGGCAACAGCAGTGGTTCTCAACCTTGGGTCCCCAGATGTTCTTGGGACTACAATTCCCATAAATCCTGGCCAGCACTGCTAGTGGTGAAAAGGCTTCCGGGAGTTTTAGTTCAAGAACATTTGTGAACCTAAGGTTGGGAACCACTGAGCTAGTGGTATGGCTCCTTCTGAGATGGGACTGTTAGGGCTAACTAACAGAAACCATCTGTATGTGGAGCACACGGTTTGTAGTGTGTCTCAGTACGTAGAGTACTCACTGGTTCAGTACCCAGCCTCAGACCTGGGACCACTAGCATTTTCAGGTCTTCCCATTACAATATTGAGAAGTAATTGAAATAATATCAACTATAGGTCCTGATGGCAATTTTTAGAGTATCTATTTTAATTGTTTGTTAATTGTTTTATCTCTTTATTGTATTTTTATTGTATTTTAATTGTTGTAAGACGCTGATGTTGGGAAAGTGTGAAAGCAGGAGGAGAAGGGAATGACAGAGGGTGAGATGGTTGGACAGTGTCATCGAAGCAATCAACATGAATTTAACCCAACTCCGGGAGGCAATGGAAGACAGGAGGGCCTGGCGTGCTCTGGTCCATGGGGTCACAAAAAGTCGGACATGACTAAATGACTAAACAACAACAACAAGCTGCCCAGATAACTTTGGGTAGAGTGGGCGGCATATAAGTTAAATAAATAAATATCCACACACCAATTAATAGTGACAGGCCTTTTGTGCACACAAACACAAATACAAATGGGTTGTTTTCATGCCACACTTGGAGGAACCAAGAAGCAGTACTGTAGGGCTGACCAATAAAGACATCTGCTAGCTAATTCTCCATAGCTGAACACATCTGTACTGCAGTTAAAGGGAGGTTACTCACCTGTAACTCTGGTTCTTCAAGTGGTCATCTGTGAATTCACACTAATGGCTTAATCTGCGTCTGACTAGAGCAGCTTCAGAACCTTCTAGAGCTTTAAGCACATGGTGCCGGGACCTCCCACCCAGGCTATAACCCCGCCCCCAGCACCGAGTGCCTCAGTTCCGTAGAACTGTCCGCCGCTGCGCAGCATACCTTATGGCATACGTGACATACAGCAGAGAGGAAGGGCGGAAAGTGTCAATTCACAGATGACAACTCAAAGAACCAGAGTTACAGGTAAGTAACCTCTTTTTCTCCTTCGTGGTCTCTGTGAATGCACACTAATGGGCGACTAGCAAGCTGACTTTCCAGGAGGTGGGTGTCACGACAATACAGAGGGTAGGACGGCTGTTCCCACGGCAGCTTCCGCCTTGGCCTGAACATCGAGGCTGTAATAAACTGCAAAGGTGAGAGGCGAGGACCATGTGGCAGCTTAGCAGACATCTGTCAATTCTACCCCACGAAAGAAGGCTGTAGAGGAAGCAACCACCCTGGTAGAGTGGGCTCGAATAGTAGCTGGAAGTGGTGTACGAGCCAGCTCATACACCAATTTTAATTGCTGTGACTATCCAGCTGGAGAATGTCTGATTGGCAGATTAAGCCAATTTTACTGCTGTGACTATCCAGCTGGAGAATGTCTGCGGTGATACAGGTGAACCTTTAGATTGCCCTTGGAATGCAACAAAGAGTCTTTGGGAGGACCGAAAGGGTGCTGTCCAGGAGAGACAGTAAGCAAGAGTCCTTTTGACGTCCAGTGAATGGACTTTTCTAATTTCGACATTGGATTTGGAAAGAAGGTGGGAAGGACTGTAGGTTGATTAAGGTGAAAAGATATACGTAGCTACTTTAGGCACAAAGGAAAGGTCCGGGTGGAGCTACAAGAATGGGGGGATCTATTCGGAGAGCTGTTAGATCACTAGCACAATGAGCCGAAGTGACAGCGAGGAGAAAGGCAGTTTTTAAGGTAAGTAACTTCAAAGAGGCGGTGGCCAGTGGTTCAAAGGGAGAAGACATTCGTTTTCTCAGTACCAGCTGAAGGGACCACCGTGGAGTAGGTGGTTTATAGGGAGAACCCATGTTCCTAAGACCCTTTAAAAATTGTTTTAACGTCGGGTGTTGGAAAAGTCGAGACGCATTCGAAGATGGAGGCTGATGGGCAACAATCGCAGCCACATATACTTTAAGAGTGGAATGTGAAAGCCCACATCAAAACAGAAAGAGAAGGAATTTCAACACTGCATCAAGCGAGGTAGGTAGTATGGGGAGATTGTTTGTAACAGCAAAATCTGAAAATATTTTCCACTTCTGTGCATAAGTGGCCGTAATAGATGGTCGGCAAGCATTTCGTAAGACATCCGCTACTGAGGGGTCAACCTCTATGCTGTGAGGTGCAGAGACTCCAGGTCTGGGTGAAGAGTCTTGCCCCTGTGGACAGAAAGTAGATGAGGTAGCAGTGGCAGACGAAGATTGAGCCGTGGAGCAGCGAGGTGAACCACGTCTGTCGGGGCCACCCGGGAGCAATGAAGATCACATCTGCCTGGTCATATCTTACTTTGATCAGTGCCTTCTGGATCAATGGGATGGGGGAAAACATGGTCGTCCTTCCAGGGCACCATAAACACATCCCCAAATGAGTGGAGGCCGGCACATACCTGGGAGCAGTACTGGACATACTTCTTGTTGGTTACCGAGGCAAAGAGGTCCATAGAAGGGATGCCCCATCTGATGCAGAGACTGGAACACCAAATCGTTCGATGCCCACTCGTGAGTGGATTCTTGCAGCCCACTCAAGCAAGCCGCCAAAACGTTGTTGGCAGAAGCAACATGAACAGCAATGGGGAAGATGTGTCGGTCGTAGCACCACTCCCAGATTCAGATGGTGAGATAAAGGAGGTGCTGGGAATGTGTGCCACTTCAGGTAGAAAACTGCTGTAATATTGTCGGTTGTCACTTCTATGATTAGACACTCGAACACCCGAAAAGCCTTGAAAACAGCAAGGAGCTCCAGCAGGTTGATGTGGAGGTGGCGTTCTGTTGGCATCCAATGTCCATTTGCTGTAAGGTTGAGGGTGTGCGCCCCCCAGCCTGTCGGACCGGCGTCCATGGTAATCCATATTGTTGGTGTAAGGGGACTGAAAGGTCTGCCAACAAAAAGACTGGGTCGGAGAGACCACCAAGTGAGTTGTTCTGAAAGTTCTACTGTCACTGCCAGGAGCTTGGACGGGGAGTCCAAGAGAGGGTCGAACAAGGCCAGGTACCAGGCCTGGAGTGACCACATCTTCAGTCTGGCATGCTGGATCACCGCCGTGGTAGAGGCCATGAGACTCAACAACCTTTGTATGTGAAGAGTTTGAACCTTGGCACCTGCTGAAAGGTGAAGAAGCATGGATTGGATCTTCTAAATCCTGTCCTCGGGAACAAAGGCTCGACCCAAAGTAGCATCCAGGACACCACCAATAGAGGTGACCCTCTGAGTGGGGTGTAAGGTACACTTTGTGTGGTTTACCTGAAGGCCAAGTTCAGACAAAAGAGATAAAGTGAATGAAATGTCATGAAGCAGTTTCTCAGAAGAAGGAGCCACCAGAAACCAATCATCAAGGTAAGGGTATACAGTGATACCACAAAGATGGTGAGCTGCTACTGGGGCCAAACATTTCGTAAACACCCTTGGTGAAGTGGATAAACCAAATGGAAGTGCTTTGAATTAATAAATTACTCCATTGAGGGAGAACCTCAGGAAACAACGGTCTTCTGGATGAATAGTAATGTAAAAATAAGCATCCTTGAAGTCAATAAGCACAAACCAATCCCCTTGTCTTAACATTTGGATAGTACTATCCAGAAAGACCATGCAAAATCGGCATGGCATAATGTAGGAATTCAAGGGGTGGAGGACAGGGATGGGGCGAAGTCCTCCATCCTTTTTGGGAATAATGAAATAACGTGAGAAAAAACTTCGTGAAACCTATGGGTTATGCACCAAAGTGATGGCATCCTTAGAGAGTAGTCTGTCGACCTCTTGATGCAGAACAGGGGAAGTAGCCGTGTTCCTAATTTGCCCTGTGCAAAGTGTGGAATGAAATTCGATCGAGTAAAATTAATAGGAGAAAGGACGGCGCCAGGAGGTATGAGATCAGGTCTGTGATGTATAAGACCGCACCATTTTTTGATATTTAAAAAGACTCTCCGAGATTTCATCCATCTTTGGGTCAAATAGTCTGCCCCCATCCTTGCCTTAACATCTTCCGTGATGCCAGCAGAGCACAGCTAAGCATGTCGGCAGAGGGTGATCACTGTTACCAACTGTTTGGAGACAGCATCCACAACATGCCTCAATGTGCTCGTGACGAGCCAAAGACGTAGCCTCCTGGTGATGAGACAGGCTAGAGGTGCAACGATCTTCTGGGGCAGCCTGCAGGGCTGGCAAAATCGCATTCCAAAGGTGCCGATGGTACGCACCCATGCTCGCCAAGTAGTTTGCTACCCGAAGGATAAAAGTCACTAATGTATAAACTCTCCTCCCCAAGATGTCGATCTTCCATCCTTCCTTATCAGTAGGAGCAGAGGCAGACCTGCTACAGGCTCGAGACTGCATGGCATCGACAACCACGGAATTTGGCATTGGATGTTTTGAGAGGAATTCTGTGTCCTTCCCATGTGTCTTGTAGAGCAGTGGTCCCCAACCCTGGGCCTCCAGATGTTCTTGGACTTCAGCTCCCAGAAATCCTGGCCAGCAGAGGTGGTGGTGAAGGCTTC